ATTACACATATACTGTTGGTGGAAGCTCTGAATAAAGCCTAATTCCTACTGGTTTAGTGATCTGTGAGGTTGAGTCTGCACGACCAGTCTCCAAATTCAAAGCTAACTAAAACACAGAAAGTACAAAGTGGGTAGTTGGGCTTGAAAAAAAAATGAGTTGGAAATTTATTTGAGTGAGGCTATTCTTTAGTAAGATAAAGAGTTTAACATATTAAGATGGTGGAAATTAAACAGTCAGAGATTCCCTATACTCTAAAAAAATGGCTAGAGATATTCTTGATGTTCTCGTCTCCACAGTTGCTTCTGAATCACTTTAAGTATCAGTGGCCCGGTTTTAGATTATTTTAGAAGCTCATTGACTCATAAAACAATGGAAGCTTTGTTTGTTCTCAAGATTGGTTGAAAATGCAAAACCAAACTTTGTTGATTAGTTGAAGAAAATATTGATGAACTTGAGGGGTTGGAAACATGTTATTTTCTTTTTTACATGTGCTTAATGCATATTTATGTTTATATGCAAATGTGACATTGTGTTTTTCTTTATCCAGATTTAATAAATGGGATATGTGCTTCTTTTCGACATGTCTCTAGATCTTATGTGAGTCCCTCAACGGTCAATTTAATGGTTTACTTATTATAAGTTTATAACCTTACATTCTTACCATAAGGCAATAATTAACAATGTAATGTGCTATTTCAACTGCTCATCTGCCAAGATGACTAACAATAGGCGTTGAAAGTGTTGTCGTTGGATGTTGTCCAATGGCCACAACCCATATTAATGGTTTGGTAATATCGTTGGACAATAGGAATTATGTAAAATGTTTGGTATGCATGTAATGCACAATAGGAATGTATGTAAAATGTTTGTTATATCGAGTAATATATTTGGAAACATAGTGTTAAAAATAAATGGTCCAAGTGTTTATTGGAACTTTTGAGGGTGGAAAATAGATTTTCCAAGTATTTGCCTGACTTATATCTATTATGAAGTATGTAAACTTGTATGCCTTAGTTTTTTTAACCCGGTAGGCAAACCACCAAAATCAATAGCGTAAATGTCAGGGAACATTTATCAGATTTTTATTAGAATAAGGGAAAAAACATACAAGAACGAGAGCAAGACTAGATTAAAATCTCTCAAAAGAAGCCAAACAACTGAAAATAACAAAAATTAAAATCTGAAATAAGGAAACCCCAAAAAAATCAGCAAAATAGTTGCGTTTAGCTAAATTGGGCAATTTGTCCACATTGTCATAACACTTGAACACTTGTATGCCTTAGTATGTGACTGCAACCAAGTCCACAATACAATGTCCAACTGCTTGTGAATGATGTAACTTCACTTAATAGTTATGTAACTCCTGTGCCTTAGTATGTGACTTCAACTAAGTCTAATGCACATTGTTCAAGTGCTTGTGAATGATGTAACTTCACTTGATGTAACACGTTACATGTGTATAATAACATGTAAGATGTGTGCCTTAGTATGTGACCCCAGCCAAGTCTAATCATCACATCACATTTATTCAGATGGAGTCATGGAAAGAACATGTCCTAAGATGCCATATAATGATTTCCTTAAATATTTTCCATAAAAATAAGGGTTGGAATCAATTTCAACCTTTTGTAAATGTTACACTCAATGGATATTTTGATCTGTATATGCTATAAGAAAACTTGGTTCTTCTTGTCAAACCTATTGCAAGTAGAGTCTATTTATTAATGTTTATTAGCTGAAATTTGATGAATATGTTGAGTTTTTAAAATAAAGGTTTTTGGTTCCGCCCATTTTACAGTTTTACCCAAACAAGCAAGTCAAAAGCTGCTTATTCTATTTGTTCTGTGGACTGCGGATAAACTGAATTGGTCATATTGGGCAACCAAATGAAGCTATAGACGCTTGATCTACGCTTTATAGTTAAATAACTATTGAAATGGATCCTGAGAATAATGCCTTAGTTATCATCTTGAAAATTATAATTAGGCTTTCATGATACCTTTATGCATTTCCTATTTCCAACAATATGGTATTTTATTACCTACCAAAGTAGACCTATAAAAAAACTACTTACCTACTTCGATAATAAACATATGGAATCAAGACATTGATACTTAGACTCACAATTCTGTTTAATCGGTGGATGTATGGGACTTGGGTGATCGTTCCTCTTAATTTTCCGATGTTTAATTTCCTCTCTTTCGGAGGCGACTATTATGGACTCATGTATGGCACTGGTACCTCACTCATGGATTCATGGTGATGGCCTTCACATTCCTACCATTTTCTTTAGTCGGAGCTATCATGGCTAAACAATGGAAACTGGTCGCATTGCGCGGGTATTGGGGGGTGGGGGGGGGGGGGGGGTTATAAATTGTTAAGTCACAAAGAGGGGTACTTGGAAGTTTTTAGGAAAAATGTGCAAATCTGCCTTTATGCCCTTCACTTTAGGTGCAATTTTTATGTGCGTTGTCATCATTTTCATTTTCATCACCTTGATCAAACTAGTTGGGGTTGGTGCCATTAATTAAATTTGTAATATAAAATGCAATGTAGAATGTTGGGTGAAGATTGGCCATTTAAAGGTGCAAATACACCCGTAACATGCATCTCTAAGTTAGGGCTAGACTCGGGCCGGTTCGGGCCTGGGCCAGAAAACTGGGGCCCGAGCCCGAACCGCCGGTGGTCGGTTCCGGTTCCGGGCCAAACCGGGCCAGGCCAAACCGGTCCTTTTTTTTTTGGGTTCTCCTATTTAACCCCCTACCCCTCCCCCTCAACCCCAAACCACCTCAAATGGCCCAAAATACCTAATCCAACCCAAAACTTTAAAAAATTCAAAAAAAAAAAATAAAAAAAATTAAAATCCGGCCCGGACCGGGCCCGAACCGGCCGGGCCGGTTCGCCTAAAGCAGGGCCCGAGCCCGGACCACCCATCACCCGGGCCGGGCCAAACCAAACCGCTGGACCCACCGGTCCCCGGGCCGGGCCGGGGCAAACAGTAACCGGGCCGGGCCGGTTCCGGGTCGGGCCGCCCGGCCCGAGTCCACCCCTACTCTAAGTGCAAAATAATTTTAATTGTGACTTTTGTCATTTTACACTAAAAAATTAATTAAATTTTGGTGGTTTTTGCAGTTTTCTTTTAGTTTAATAGTGTTTAAGGTAAACAAGGGTCACTATAAACCTAGAAGAAAACATTAAGCAACCCGAAAAATGTAAAATGCTAAAGGAACCTTTAGCTGGAGGTAGACACTGAGGGCATGTTTGCACCTTTTGCCAAGTTTAGTTATTCTTTGTTGATGACTATATGTTTTGATGTTAAACATTCTGATGTTCTCTAATTAGTGTGAAGTGACACAATTGTCCCCCCATGCTTCCTATCGCTTTAATATTCTCTGGGTACTCACTGACAAGACTAGGAATTACTAGTATTTTAAGGACCAATTACACAGGGTTATCAAAAAAGCATCTTTGTGTGTTCATTCTACTAATCACAAATATTCCCATGGCTTTATATATGAGTTTGGTCCATCAGGTAGGTATCTGATTCTTTATACTATGTCACCCCATCCCAAAAACTGAACAGTGTTTCAGCAAGATATATTATAACTTTGAAATTTAGTTTTAAAAAACAATTTGTTTCTTAAGCTACATTAGCATTTTAGCAAAGCTTAACTTGTTTGAAACACATATATTCATAAAAAAGTGTTAAATTAAATATAATTCAGCTTCTTTTGTCGAAATGTGTTTTTTTATTGGGACAATTATAAGATTTGAGCATTGGATATGCAAATTTTCAATAAAGGTTTAAAAGAACCTTATACAATTTTAATTTACTACTTACTTGTAATATATGCTTCTCAAACAGGAAGTGAGGACGTATGAACTATCTCTCTGTCGAAGCAGCTAGTGGAAACGTAACAAACATCCTTTTTCTTGACACCTTGTCATGTGACACCTTACTACTCAACCCTTCACCGTAACATTCCTATGCGCTTTTGGATTGTGCACCGAGGTATCTACTACCTACTTCTTTCTATGTCTTATATGTGTTTATACAATGTAAAATAGAATGTGATTGTTTTTTTTATGGGGAATGCTTCAACAGTGAAGTGAAAGGAGTGGTAGACGAGTATGCTCGGTTCTTGTTGGACCTAGTAGGTTTGCAAAAGGTTGGTCTTTACCTAGCCACATTGTGGTGTTTGATGCACAAGAAAAGCAATTGGAGGAATTTCTGGCTTTACACAATTTGAAGGAGGTGATTTGGTATTTACTTCTATTTTTCAGGGTTGTTATCTTAGTTGATTGGTCTATAACTCTACATTGTTAGAAAGATAAAAAGGTTTTTTCATGATCACTTCAAAGTGGACATAGAGCTTTAGGCATCTATTGTTGTGTATGCATTTGGAGACCAGTCAAATTTTCCTCTTCCAGATCAAAATCATTTGCTTCGTGTAGGCATATTTTAATGGAATAACCCCCATCCCTCACCCCACCCAATGACGAGGACCAGAACCAAGCTCAAACGAGACTGGAACCGAGAGCATGTCCACCCATAGTTGACACATTCACTCTGGGACTGGGAAGTTTGTTGAATAACGATGTAAAAACTGTACAATAACTGGAGCATAGGTATGGACTGGGCCGGGTCAGCCCCGGGCCCGAGAGCAAGCAGACTTAGGTACTAAGGAATTCAGGCCCGATACCGGCCAAGGCATGCTTCTGACTAGGCCTAGTCCGGGACCAAATAGTACCAGGCAAGGTCAGGACCGGGTCAGTACCACCCATTTTTTTAATTTTTTTAATATAGTGCAATTGGGCCCGGTCCCAAAAGGTCGAGCCCGAAGCCCATCCCTTATAACCACCGGTTCGGGCCCCGGGCCAAGCCTAAACAGTACCGGGCGGGGAGGGCCAACCCGTCCCCAGTCCATCCCTAGAGGAGCGACTTGTCCACCCATATGAATGTATTAAAACCATCATGGGCCTCATGGCAACGCCAAAACGGTCACAATTTAGCTATAAATTTAGCACTATTTCTGCTTGTGGTAAAAACTAAAAAGCTGCAGGTCGTATGAACGTTTCACAATTCCATCATATTATCAGCACCGCCATTCATTCACATAAAAGCATACTGATTATTTTCCTGTAATAAAACTATTTGCACAAAACAAATGCACATATACCCACCCATTCCTTAGAATGACTAAATATTTCTTATCCACAAGAGTTACACCGACCAATAAATCAACCCAGCCTACACATTCTCAAAGCTTCGCATGTCCCATTCCTTATTTACACGACACTCCTCCAGGGGTTGTATCTACGGAGCAAATGGGCCTGGAATTTTTACATATACTAAATGAGAAATGATAAAAAGATCAAGAAAAATATGAAAAAGTAACTAGTATTTCACGATATAATTAAGTCTTAGCACACATCTTTAGAGATCTTTAACAACAACTGCCAGAGTTTTTTAAACGTGATGTAAATGTATTCAATAATTCACAATGTTCACCACTTTACCTCGGTGCTCTCTCATACAATGAGGATCCAGGAAGCTATCTGTGTCTGAAGCTAGGAAAGGCGATCTCGAATATGTCTCTAAAATATCTTCTTAAAAAACATAAATTCAAGGATAGCATCAACAGCTAGCTAAAATATGAAACTATTTGCTGGTGTGTGTGTGTGTGACAAGTGAGAGGGAGAGAGAGAGAGACCTGAACTGTTAGCAAAATCAGCTGTCAAATCAGACAAACTGAAGTTGCGGGGAATCTGCCCCAAGAACCCAAAGGATGTATCAGCGGCATCCAAGACAGTCTCATTCAGGTTCTGTGAATTAGATTCCACACTACTGAAGGATGAAATGGACGCATCGGTGATGGCAGGACGGCTTTCCATAACATTGTTGTCACTACCAAACATAAAATGAGGATTGGCAGGATGACGATAAGCAGGAGCAGCAGCTGCTTCTGATTTGATGAGTTGTCCCCCATGCATCAACCCCCCACTAGCAGTCTGAGCCAGCAGGGTGCTTGGTAAGACATTAATCCTCCGTGGATGATGAGTGGACATATCAAGGGCAGTTTCCATACGAGTTTGTAGGGAGGACACGCTATTCGAGTATACATTAAGTAAACTGGCATTCATATTTTGGCTCATGGTGTCAGCCTTCATGACCGGTCCAATGTTATCAGTTGTTGTGCAGGTAGAGTTATCATGCACTGTTCACATGAAAAAACGACGTTTCATGAAAACATGAATAAACATAAAGAGTTACATGTTAGATTCTTTTGTGTTTCTTTAAGAGATGAGGTTTTCATCCTCCTCTCTGTATCCCGCTCTTCATCTTCTTTAATAAAATTGGTAAATGATGCCAAAAAAAATTCCCTCCATCCTAAAAAAACTAGTCCGTTTTAACTAAAATTAAAAGTCCTTTTAAGGTCAACTTTCTTTGAAAAGAAAGGTCATGCAAATCTAAGCGGATAGCGGTTTTGATAAATTACTCTAAACAATCATGTAAATGTTTGTACCTTGATTGAGTTGTAAGTTGTGACAAAAACAGAAAGTTATACAGTATGCAAACATGACTTTTTTTTGGGGGGGGGGGAGTAGTTATTTTTAGATCTAGACTATCATAGACAAAATTAGTAAAACATAAATAAATTCTCCCAGCCCTCTCCACTGAATTCCGGTAACTAAAAAGCTGTAAAACACAAAACAGGGTCCTTACATTGACGAATTTGAGATCCACCGCTAACCAGGGGAATCGAACTCACTCCAGCTGGACACATCTGACTTATTAGCTTAGCTTGCCTCTCAAGCAACTCATTGAATCTCAATATTTGATCCTTCACTATTAACCTCAACCGGTATGCCCTGAAGAATTCCTGGTTTTCTTCTTCAAGCTTTTGCCACACTGAAAATATTGAAAATAATCAGTTATCATCTGTGTGCGGAGTTGGTTTCAGTAAGCATCCGCCTATATATGGGTACTTACTTTAATAACTAAAACTAAAAATGCACAAAATGGAGTGCATACGTTTAATAACCCTAGGATGACCACAACTGCTTTTCTTAAATCTAAGGGCCTGTTTGGATGGAGTGTTTGGAAGTGTTAGTAATGAAAGTGTTAGTAAGTGTTAGTAAGGGCCCGGAAGGGAAGAGAAGTGTAAGTGTTAGACATAATTTTACCTTGTTTGGGAGAGTCAAATGAATGAAGTGTTAATAATGGAAGTGTTAATAATTTTATCTTGAGGCAAAAGAAACGAGTAAAGAGAAGAGATGAAAAAAGCAGACCATCAGACTCGTTGGAAAGATATTCGAAGTGAAATGTCGAAGCATTTTATGTTTTCAGGTAAATGAGAAGGGTAATAATTGTCCAACACCTCAAAACACTCCAAATCGGGGTGTTAAAAAAATGGGAAATTGAGGTGTTAGGAAGGTTATTATTAACACTTCCTAACCATTACTAACACTTCTTAACACCTCTGGATTTTCTCCCAAACAAGTGTTAGCATCAACACTTACTAACACTTACATTACTAACACTCCTCAACACTCAATCCAAACAGGCCATAAGGGTTGAGATTAGGTCCATCTGGATGGGTTGAGTTCTTAAATCTAAGGATTAAGTTTTTTTTCAAGGAACCTATATTTACCTGCATTCAGCTTGCTTAAATCTCTTTTTATATACGAACTTTTATCAAATTTAAATTCGGTTTTTGGGATCCAATAGTGTAGCTTCTAAATACAATGAGCCGTCTTTTATTAGCCACTCCACTATCATTTGCAGATGTATATTTTTCTCTTTTTTCATTAACAATTTATATGATCGCTCAGGTCTGGACATTCTTTTTTGGCCATCCAAACATTTGAGTTGGGCCTATTGGATTGACGTACCGGTGCGGATAACCACTGTGGTTGGAATAGCTCAAATTTGTTAACCATCCAGTATATGACGGACAGTCGACAGTAAGAATATTCTGACAGATAGTTCTGACTTCTGACCTCATCATTTTTGTACGTGTCGAATATATGTGTGTATGTATACATATAATTTGTTCCAAATGAGAACAAAACCTAATGAGAAAAATCAAAAGGAATTCTAACTATTTTGTGTAGAGATGATCTGGTAATGGGAGTGACCGTAATTTTGTGATTTCAGCAACTTTTTCAATGTTTATATCCGAAAGTATCTCCTCACTTTAGGTTGCATTTAATTTTCTACCTTTACGGTTATAACAATGACATATTCTTATTTCTATGTTTCATTTTAATATTTTATATTCTTTTTAAGGAGACAGTTTTCTTCCTTTTTTATTTTGCCCTTTTTTACATTTGAGGCTTTAATCCTTGGACATATATGTTAAACGTACTCTATCGATACGAACAATGCAAAATACATCCTAATTATAATATGCTTAATAATACAATACATCGCACTTTTACTTTCTTAAGTTTTTAAACTCAAAATCAATGTTTACTACATCACCACACTAGTGCAATGCAAATGGATTTGATGCACTTCATTTAAAATTTAAGCCTCCACAGTCAAAGGGAAATACCAAACCACGTTTGTTGCACTCTAGATAAGTTTTTTTTTTTGCAGAAGCACTCTAGAATAGTTAGAAATGCAATTACATCATTCATCATTTTCATTTACCCCAGTGCCGCAAAGGCTCCCACCTACGCAATTACATGGAATGTTTTTTTAAAATGCACTTCTACTGAATTGTAATCTTTATCTGCATATAAGCTATCACTTTTAAATGTTTCCTACTACTCCGTATGATACAATGCACTTTAGTCAACACACATATGCTAAACGTACGTTACACTCAATCGATAAGAACTCAATGCACTTTTACTCTTAGCTATTATTTATTGGTTGATATCTAAAAATTAAATGTCTACTACTACTACTACAGTACGAGTGTACGACATATACGGCTACAAGCTGACATTTGATGTGCTTCACTCAGATTTGATGCAACCACAGCTAATGGTACTACTTCATCAAACTTGTTGACCTACATAAAGATTTCACTACACCTCAACGCAATTTTTCGGTGGTACCACTGGTCAAAAAACTATGCACAATATGTCTGATATTTTGAAGGGTAATAGCATGATTACCAGGATCTATCTCCCTAAATGAAATTGTGTATTACAGTTAACAAACTCTATTTACAATTATACCGTTACATGATGATTAATCCCAACACTTGCCTTTTATAACTCCTTTTGACCCACAAAAGTAGGATGGCAAATGTTTTTATCAATTATCATTTGAGCATCATGATTCATTTTCTCAATGGTTAGATTCCATTCTCATTTCTCACCAAAAACCTTGCCCTATATATATTCCTTATTATAGAAGAAATACCCAAGTAGGAAAGGAAAAAGAGTAATTACCAAGTTCAGTAAAGCCTGGCTCAATTTTGGCTTGGTGTAGGAGGGTGCTCACAACTTCTTTCTGGTTCATGTAAAGCTGTAGGCACCGTTCTATGAGATTTTGAACCTGAAACAAAAAGTTGTTGAAATAAAATGGTGTACCAATGAAGTAAAACGTTGTTGAAACAAAAAGTTCTTTGCATAGTAAGTTACGCAAATTACACAATATGTGTTAAAGCCACCTGGACAGTTATTTGAAGCAGTAAGTAATATTGTGAGCATTCTCCTTGGAAAAAGTTTCTAGTAAAGATTTTGAAACAGAACCATGTTCAGGAATCATTGTTTTCTTAACATTATTGTGGGCCAATGATATTCTCACTTAACATTATTTAATTTAACTTGCAACCAATTGAACGTGAATGTAAAATTGAATTTCATACAAGCGCTTTTTTATGAATAAATTGTACTGGAAATAAAATTGAGCCATTTTCAATATCCCAAATGAAAAATTGAAACTAAAAATTATAAAGTGAAAACTGGAAAAGGAAGTGAAAACATAGATGTGCCTATGTTAACATTCCAATTCTGCCATGTCAACGTGTCAATAAATATCATACGGAGTATCTAATTAGATATGAAATGGCTTACCAGCTGAATATCTTCACGCGAGACTTTCTTCACCTCTCCACTGGACATTTTCCAAGACCTAAATCAGAGTTTTTCTAGAAATTCAACACTACTTTGCAATTAAGTAAGTTGTAATCCCCCTTTTGCCAAAAGGTATTGGTGAATCTTTACCTACATAAACCTGCTACAGTATTATATTTAGAGTCACGCGACTTTCCCGGAGGATATTGTGAATTTAAATAGACGAGGTGACTAGGAAATGAGGGAATGCATGTAACCAAAGAAAAGCATAATATGGTTTTAAACTTTTAATAGTGGGTAATAAATCTTTGAGCGAATATAACTCAGTTATGTGTCATAACCTTACACCACCTTCTAAGATGGAGATAAATCTGATGGGTTGTCACTTCGAATTGTACCATTGATCTGAAGTGTTTTTTGTCAGAAGTACAGAGAAGTTTCTTCCCCTATTGACTATTGTTCATCCCTTTCTATAGCAAACAAGATAAAATGTAAAATCGAATAACAACGCCTACGTGAAGGGCGTGCGTAGTACAGATGAAAAGTCCATTGGTAAAGGTGTAGCATATAAATGAAGCTAAATATCTCTATCTATATCTAATTGGGCCGCCTGGGATAACTGTTCCCCCGCCTGAAAATGATGGCGCCACTGTGACATCATCATGATATCATCACGGGATGATGTGACACGTGCTTACAGTTAATCTGCAGAATCTTGGCTCTGCTCCGTACGAAGGCAACACAGCCAGCATATTGGTTGGTCATCAAATTACAGCTTATTACAAGTCCTTAATTCAGAAAAGTTTTCATCGTTGAGATGAAAGAACAGATAAAGAAAGAACCTCAACAACACCCTCTAACTCTCTTAGCTTGATTGCCGATACGATAGAATAAGATACGTAGGAACAAACAAAAGAGGATGAGATAAAATCATAAGACAGCTAACAATAATCGACTAACCTCAGGGCATGAGTTAGACGAACGGCGTGGGGGTGTAGTTCGACTGCGTCCGACGAAGGGGGAGATGAGATGGAACCGGAGAGAGCAAATATAGCGTACGACCGTCTGGCGGAGAGAGATGAGCAGATAGATCGGATGAAATGGACCGGATCAAACACTTTGGGCCAATAACTTTAAATATGGAGTATTTAATTGGGCAGATTTTATATGGAGTATATTGGGGTGTTTGGATCTGATTCTCAAAACTGATTCTGCTCTTCAGGCAGCAGAAGCAGAAGCTGGAGTGTTTGGGTGAAATTACAGAAACACTTCTGGATCTCTAATTAACTCTCAGAATCAGTTTTTTGAGAAGCTGAGAGGTACCAGCTTCTGAAAACTGATTCTGATTCTGATTCTGTTTTTAAAACAGAAGCAGAAGCAGAATCAATTCCAAACACCCCCATTGTCTTTTTAACACGGAGTATCAATTTGGTAACATTGAAGTCTCTTAAATGGATTGAATTTATTGAAATTGATAAACCGACCGAATTCACTAATTTGTTGATTTGCACAAATATTATATTAAAAATATTTTTAATACTAAATATTTTTTTATGAAAATAGCTACAATCATTTTCTATAGTAATTTCGGCCAATTCAATTACAAAAAAAAACCTCAAACTCAATTAAGTTGATTAATACGTGGTATATAATTTAGTGTGCCATATCTCTTAATTTTATATTCATAAACTAATCTAGAATGACTGATAAGTCTAATAAGTTGAAAACATTAGTTACCAAACATGCTCTTAATAACTTTGAGGTGAAAAGTAAATGTTTGAATTAATGATAAAAGTTTAAAATTAACATAGTTGAATTTCATAAACTAATCCAAAAGTTAACCTACGTGAAAAAACTCACCCACATCAATAAGAATTGGAATATTTAAAAGAAATTTTATAAATTGTTATAGCCATGATTTATTATTTTGCAGATATGTCATATTTTATTGATCTTAAATTGTAGTGTCATTATAACTATCACTTTCTTACCTTAATTGGTGTTTACAAAAAATGTTGATTATGGATATTCATTTATTTGAATTTAAAAAAAGTCTATAGTTTTATTTCAATGTTATTTCGAAATTTGGAATATGTGAAAACAACAAGTGCAAGGTTGGAAAAGCATTTAAATACTCCGCTACCATGTGCGTAATTGATGATGACTATTGATCAATACGGTGTTGCATATTTTTTCTCATACTATTAATAGTGATATATTACACACACTGAATATTAATATTTAATTTTATGTAATGTGTGTTGGAATTATTTGTGCCATTTAATTGACACAAAAATCACATTCAATTTGCGGTTAACTAAAAAAATACAACTTTCAACACCTTCTTCTTCACACGCTAGGCCTTTTAATTTAGAAAAGTTATGAATCATGTTATAACATAAAAGCTTATAGATGCTATTAACCCATAAGTCTGTGAGCTCTCTCTCCTCTTAATCCAACTATTTCATTTGGCATTTTCTCATTTTAATGAGACTTATACACCTCAAATATTACACATCTATTCAAGTTAAAAAAGTATTACACATATATTTCATTTTTATTATTGTAATAAGTTACGGAGTATAATTTAATGACCAACCAATATGCTGACAGTGTTGCCTTCACATGAAGGAGAGCCAAAATTATGGAGATTAACCGTTACCGGTGGGCGTAGCTCAACTGGTAGCTAGTGAGTGCCACAAGGGTTAGGTCTCAGGTTCGAATCCTGGCAACTACGATGAGGGGTTACTATGCTGAAAAATGCATAGGGCCTCTGTAAGTACCGGAGACAGAGCCCCACTCTCTATCTGTCAGATTGTGATTATCTGTCAGACCGTGAGCATGGGTCACATCACCCCGTGATGACATCATGATGGTGTCATGGTGACATCATCATTTCAAGGCGGGAACAATTATCCCAGCCAGTCCGACTTTATATATACTATCTATAAGAGATTCCTTAACAACCTTTTGCGTAATTTTTTTGTATGGTCATATTTATTTGGTTGGGTGATCAAATTTTCATAGTTCATATCAGGCAATTCTCTCTCCAATTTGTGAGACAAGTCATGTCTCCACGAATTCACCCAATGGCAAACCCAAAACAATTTTCATGGGGACGTAATCAGCTTGTGTCGAGTGTGTTCCAATTGTAGTCTTTAAACAAGAATGTGCAACTTTTTAGAAGAAAAATAAAATCAATAGATCTTAAAATCTTATAATAGTCAATGGAGGTTTGGGCATTTTGGGGACAAAAATAATGTTGGTGTAATCATCAAGCTTATTGAGGTTGTACAATGTGTTTTAAGGCTTGTGCTCTATTAAAGGAACTTATTTCTCCGTTTTATTTCCGTTAGCCTCCAATCCACTTGCTTCTGCGTCCGTTTATCTTGCTTCAGATTCAAATGACCTCCCAGCTTCAAAGTTCAAACAATCAAATGTACCGAATTTATGACGGAAGTTCACGCCATCTATCATTTCTATTTGCCTCTTGTTTTACCTCCGCCGTGTCTACTCACCCAAAAAAAAGTATCGGCCTCTTCATTTAACTCGGAGATTCATCTACGCATACTCCACAATATGATGGAGGCATTCCTAAATGAGAACCGACCAACAACTCAAAAACTATTTCGATAACAGGTTAGGTTTTCTCCATCTTTTTTGCAGCGTCATTTTTCTAGTATGAGTTGATGTAGATCACTTCTTGCTCCACTTTAATGTTTATTTCACTCTAATGCGTTTTTTCTTAATGCGTAGAAAAGCATAACCAAATTCCGTAGAATACAATGATTGCACACTTCTGCTCTTGGACCGGTTTTATCATTCTCTCTTTCAGCTCACTAAGAAATTCTCAAATATTAACCAATGAGGTATGTAGAAGTCAATTGAAGAGCATGAATGGTAAACGGAAATGGTATGTACTATGTAGAAATCAATGCACATTTGCACTCTTGTAGAAGTTTAATGTGCTTTTTTTTTATTAATACTCCGTTTAAGTAATCCAGTCTTGAATATCCAGAACCTTATACAAGTGTGTATTACTGGTCAAAATCGATGATAGGATCTTTTCTATCAAAAATATTACTTACTATTAAGAAAACTGTAACCACTTTCTTAGTTTTTTGTGGTTTAAGAATCTTTTCTTTGTAGGGAATTTTACAAGGTGTCTTAGGTAAGTGTGCTTCTCTAAACGCATCTGAGAAGTTAAATTGAAAAGATTTTAGCCTTCTTTTCCTGTTTTATATAGTGCCATAAAAGGAGATATCTCTATATTATTTGAATTTTCATAATAAATGTACATCAGTTTTATAAATAACTTCTATGATGAATATTTAGTTGAGAGCAATGAGACAAACTTAATCTTAAATTTTGAAACTAAATCTTACTTTCTGTCTCGGCCTCCATTTCTCTTGGTTTTATTATCTTTATATTCGATTTTATGTTCACTTATAAAAACTGCCATATTAATTAGTATTACGTATAACAAGTGATGTCCCATTCAATATTTATACTTGTCGTCCCACACGTATAAATATTGATCTTTGAGTTGTCCCTAGTGAGTTACAATATATAATTTGTCAAATTCATCATTCTCGACTTGTGGTTGATTAGAAAATTTGAATGCACATATCAGCTGAACATGTTTTTCAAATTCTAATTTGAATAACATTTCTTCTAGGTGTGTATATGATTGCAATTTTCTTACTCTATTGTTTGACTTCTGAACTATTTAGAAGAACAAGAAATGACATAGATGCACAGTTACTAACCATTAGTCAATTATAGCTACCATCGTGTTTTCTCCAAAGATAATGTTGCAAAGAAGAATCTCTTTTAATTTCAGTGATATAATAATCATGCTCAAAATTGAAAAAATATAATATCATAACAATGAAAGTTGGAGATGTCTTCCCTTATTTAGAGTATGGTGCCCCTGTTCTTGCGTCAAATACCCTTGTTTAGAGTGCTGGGGGTTTGCGTAATATCTTGTAGCAGATCCCCTTTTTTGTTTGGTAAGGCTGGTGTTCTAGTTTAACAAGTACCTTCTTCTATTTGTAATACACTTTGGTGTAGAAAATCTAAGATCTTGGGTGAATGTTTTCTTTTGGTCATATTTTCATCAACTAATGAGTTTGTTGCGCTTTTTAGTTGATGATGTCAAATCATTTGTGTTCAGATTTTCTCATGGGTTAAAAAAGAATATGTTTTATGACGTTAAAATAATTCGGCTACAAATAGATAGTAGATCTCCCAGTCAGATCTGCTATATTTTAGAAATTATCAATTCTCGCTGTATTTTTATACTTATTGCTCACCTTAATTATTTGTATTCTGACTTTTATCTTTTCCTTTTAAAAATGAAATGGTATATTTAATCCTTTCATTATTAAGATGTCTACTTGTGCATTTAAAGCAATGTTTCTCTCTACGAGGAGGTATTCATTTGTCTCACAGATTTTAATAACAATTCATGCGTCCATCGCTGTACCGACTGCCTAATTCGCTATACAAACATTACAGAGGTAACGATGAATACATCATAAGGATGTTTTCTTTTGGACTGTTTTCAGTCCCAGACCAGACCAGACCAGACCAGACCAGACTTCCTTAGTTATAAAATACACAGAGACCAGACGTTTACCAGACCAGACCAGACCAGACCATATCAGACCAGACCAGACCAGACCAGCAAATTTCACTCCAAAAGAAAACATCCTAAGTCATAACATATTTAACGGTAAACGCCTGAATTTACTATTATTGTTCTTTCAGTTCTATTTCGTGGAGTATTTAATAGATCAAACTTTAAGTTCACAGCTTGCTAAAGAGTTATACAGTATAAAATTAGCTTCCAAATGCAAAGTTGAAAGCCGAGTTCAGGGGAAGAGTTGATTGACGAACATGCAGGGATGTTGGTGACTTATTTAAAAAGGCGGCAAATCTCCACACCCCCTAATTATTTCATCACAGTTAAACATATAGTGTCTGGTTCTTTTCACCGCCGGATTGATTTTCAGTCCAATATGTACACTTCGATCGATTTAAGCTAATCTCTATGTATTCTTATAGTGGAGTCTATCGATAAAAAACATTACATCTCTCAATTAATAGCTATTTGTCTTCTTAAGTCA